AGGATTATAGGCATGAGCCACTGGAGCCTGACATTCTTATCTTTTGATTAAGCAGTAAAGCACTGGAGAACACAACCTCAGTACTTGGCCGGGGGGAGGGGGAGGGAGTAGGAAAGCACTGGGGTAGCTCAGTGATAGAGTACTTGTGTCTAACACTACCCCCTCCCCAAATTTTTAACTACCTTTTCAGATTAGCAAATTATTTTCTACCTTCTACATACATAACCTATCTGCTTCCTTCTCCTTATTTTTTTTCTTTAAAAAGCATATCTTATTAACCAAGAAAGAACCTTTCAAATTTTTGGACGACATCATGTTTGGTGTCCATTTAGATATGGAACTCATTAGTGCCTAAGGTTACCTTGCTGATATTACTTACTGTGAAGGAATACTTGGACCATCTGGTGACATCATCATCATTCAGCTGGTTTTAGATATGAAAGATCAACAAAGCCCATTAGATGATGGTGCTAATGGTTCTGTTTTATTTATTGTGTGTATACGCTGGTACCAGGGCTTGAACTCAGGGCCTCACACTCTTGATCAGTTTTTTGTTTTTTTGGTTTTTTTTTTTTGCCCATGACTGGCACTCTACCACTTGAGCCAATCAAGCATTTTGCTAATTAATTGGAGATGATCCTACAGACTTTTCCACAGGGGCTGACTTCAAACCACAATCCTCCAGGCCTTAGCCTCCTGAGAAGCTAAGAATTAGCTACTATGAGCCACTTGTGCCAGGCTTACCTCTTATAATTGGTATTAATGTTTACTTCTCACTTGGAAGTATTCATTCCAGCTTTGTCTTCAGAGAGCATTTTTTGAGCCAAAGTTTTTGGGTGTATTATATCTTCCAAGATTGCATTATAGAGATACTGGCTTTCCTAATGAACTGTGGTTCTGGTGGAGAGATCCAAATAGACCTCAATGCTTGTGAATACCTCTTTCATCTTGGTTTGCAAGCAGGCTTCTTACCTTTCTAGCAAAACATGTTAGGAGTCCAAAAAAAGGTATGAAACTTGGGGCTAGTAACCATGAGTTTATAGAATGCAATGTGATCATTACTGTCTGGCTTTGAATATTAGAAAAGAGTTCTCTAAATGTGTGCCAGAGATAATAGTTGAACATGATATCTGCCAAGATACATAAAGACTTTTGTATCATCAGACCAAACAAGATGCTACAAATCATGAAATTTTATCACATGAATTCATGTTCAAGGAATTACATTTTTTCTTCTATTGTTATTTTTTCTGTAAGAATGTCAGAAAGGAAATTGAATGCAGTAGTATTTTAATATTTAAACAAATGGGGTAACTGTATTAGTTCTGAAAAATGCCTTATCTTACTTTTGGAATGGATTACTAATAATACACTAAAGAAGCAAATTCCAGGGCTGGGAAGTTGTCTCAGTGGTAGAGCGCTTGCCTTGCATGCCTGAGGCCCTGAGTTCGAATCCTCAGCACCACATAAGCAAAAAGAAAAAAGCCAGAAGTGGCGCTGTGGCTCAAGTGGTAAAGCGCTAGCCTTGAGCTGAAGAGCTGAGGGACAGCGCTCAGGCCCAGAGTTCAGGCCCCACGACCAGACCCCCCCCCCAAAAAAAAAAAAAAAAGAAGAAGAAGCAAATTCCATTGTGCTCCCAGGACCAGTGGTTTCTGGTACAGGTAAGTGTGAACAACTATTCAGCTGACATAGGAATTGTCCTACATAGGAATTGCCATGTTTCAGCTAGATAATTCATTTAAAAGGCCCAGAGGCAAAATACAAGGACTAAGAATAAGCTAATCTCTCTGTTCTCTTTCATAATATTTATTTATTTAATTTAGTAAAGGTGATGTATAGAGGAGTTACAGTTACATAAGTAATGAGTACATTTCTTTTTGAATAGTATTGCCCCCTCCCTCATTTTCTCCTGCTTCCCCCTCCCTCCCAACAATTGGTTGTCTGTATTTCATTGCAGCTAGCATTGATAGGCATGAAAGTTTACTTGTCTGGGAGACAGGTAGTCACAGGAGTCAGATGAATAACTTGGAATTGAATAGCCTAGGAAGGCATTTTTCTGTTCTGAATTTCTTTTTCTTTTTTTTTTTGTCTTTTTTGGTACTGGGGATTGAACCCAGGAGGTTACACTTGCTAGGCAAGCGCTTTGCCACTGAGCTACATCCCAGCCCTGTTCTGAATTTCTTATTTAGCATTTGTTACCTAAGTGAAGGAAGATAGAACAATAAACATTGGGGGCTGGGAAGGTGGCTCAGTGGTAGAGCGCTTGCCTTGCATGCCTGAGGCCCTGGATTCGATTCCTCAGCACCACATAAGCAAAAAGAAAAAAAGTCGGAAGTGGCGCTGTGGCTCAAGTGGTAGAGCGCTAGCCTTGAGCTAAAGAACTGAGGGATAGCGCCCAGGCCTAGAGTACAGACCCCACAACCAGACACCCCCCCCCAAAAAAAACCAAGAAACATTGTACTATGGCTTAAAAATCAAGAGTTCCAAGCTGGGGAAGCTGGTAACTCATGCCCGTAATCTTAGCTACTCCAGGAGAATGAGATCTGAGCATTTTGTTTGGAAGGCATCCGCAGCGGGACAATTCATAGGACTCTTTCATTTCCACCCTAATAAAGCCAGAAATAGAGCTGTGGCTCAAGTGGTACAGTGCTAGCCTTGAACAAAAAAACCTCATGGATAGTGCCCAGGCCCTAAGTTCAAACCCCAGACTGTCATATAAACTCAGGTTGCCATCCCTGAGTTCAAACCCCAGGACACACACACACACACACACACACACACACACACACACACACACACACACACACACACACACACACACACACACACCAAGAGTCCTAACACACACACACACACACACACACACACACACCAAGAGTCCTAAATCTATTCCCTGCAAATTGCTTTCCATTTTGGATCCTCTTCATTTAAATAGAAAAATTTATTTTTAAGTTTCTTAACCAGGAATGAAATTGCTATTCAAAAGGAGGGAGAGAGACTTAATAAGTGATGGAGAGACAGACATCCCTCTTTAACCTCTAGGTTCTCTGGTTCTTCTGGGCCTTTATTTGAATGTACTGTGAAATAATAAAGGAGACAGTTTCTTAACATTCACCAGCCTTGGTAAATGTGACCTCCACACAGACATCTTATGTAATTAACTCTTCTCTCAAAGGCAAGGGAAAATTGGCAGCTAGACAAGAGAGAAGGACTTTCTGGCTTGGCTTTTCTTGCTTCTGAGGAACCAGTCTCTCTGAGAGGCAGTTCTTGCAGTGTAGGAGAGGAAGTGAGAGATTTCCCAGGAGAAATATTTGGCAATAATCATGTGGCTCCAGATGCAAGAAGGAAACCTTTTGTGGCTGACCCCAGAGGAGAGAGAGGGGTTGGAGAATGGCTGAACAAAATAATAAGATTCCTTTTGATGAGTTTGGATTTATTTGTTCAGGAACTCTCACAAGATGGAGAAACAGGCTTATAATTCCCCAAACCAGAAGCTGAGTTACCAAAAAAAGTTTACTTTCAAATTTAAATTTGGATTAGGCTATAAAAGGCCAACATTCTAATTAGGGCATAGGTATAAAATTTAAATTCACTGTTAAGATTATAGAACGAAATAGTAAAAGTTTGCTTCAGAGTCTTATTTATGAATTTAGTATTTAACATTGAAATGTTTTGGTTAAAAAAGTTTGCAAGCAAAGTGAGGCAACCGTGAGCTGTAACTGACAAGTGTACATTTCAGTATTGTGACCTTTGAGAGGTATAAACATCTAATAATCTTGAAGAGAAATTAATTCAATTAAAATTAAGTGGTGTGCAACCTCCTATACATGTCCCAGTGTGAGGATTGGCACTAGGGTTTCAGGGCCATTGCCCCTGCACCCATCCATGCAGGCTCTGATGCAGACCCCACACCTAGCCTTTCAGCTCAAGTCCACCCTGGGGCAGCTAGTAATAGCGTTAGAGGGCCAAGATAGGGCCATCCCTTCGCCCATACCCTGCCCTTTGACCCAGGTCCCTGACACAAAGGAATGGATCTTCCCTGGCACCATCCCCAGGAACCCTGTAGAGGCTGGGCCCCTGTGCTCTGAGGATCTGGGGTCTGAGCCCTGCTGCTAAATGACCATGTCCCAGCTCTTTCCCCAGGCTTGCATGAGTATGCATGTGTTTTTCTAGGCTTCTGTTCCATATTGTAAATATAAAGACTGGAAAGTGAAGTTCAGTGCTTGCCTGGGCTAGATAGCCAGACCCTGTCTCAAACAAAACTGTATACAGTGGTTCACACCTGTTATTCCAGCTACTTAGAAGGCGGAGATTGGAAGGATGGTGGTTCAAAGCCAGTCCAGGCAAAAAGTTATTGAGACCTCATCTTAACTAACAAGCTAGATAAGGTAATATGTACCTGTTTTCCAGCTCTAGAGGCTGTAGATATTGGAATCATGGTCTAAGGCTAGCCTCAGGCAAAAACTGAGACCCTACCTGAGAAAAACAAACAAAAAACAAAAGCAAATAATCACAAAAGGCTGGGGGGGTTGGTGGAGAGAGGCCTGAAAATGTTCAAGTGGTAGAGTTTGCTTAGCTAACTCAAGGCTCTGAGGTCAAACTAATACCAAGAATGTTAAATGGCAGAATTCTTATCCTTGTACATTAAAAGCTTCAAAACAGAAACAAAATTCCAACCTGAAGTGGTATCTTTATAGTTTGTTGGAACCCCTGGCACAGGCTGTGTGGTCCTGTGGCTGTGTGTGTGTGTGTGTGTGTGTGTGAGAGAGAGAGAGAGAGAGAGAGAGAGAGAGAGAGAGAGAGAGAGGGAAGGAGGGAGGGAGGGGAGAGGAGAGAGAGCACTCCTTGTTGAAATCACTCAGGCTTGAAGTATGGATTTCTGTGCCCAGTCCCCCTGGGTACCACCATACTTGTCAGGAATAATGGTTGGTTCCTTTGCCCTTACCATTCTTTCACTGTTGCTGGGAATGATTAATGCAATGTAATGTCTTCTCTTTCAGCCCTCCTCGCCCTCTGACTAATATGAATGACACCATGGTTAGCCACATATCCTCCGGAGTGCCCACTCCTACCAAGAGGTAAGTATGTGTGCCTCAGAGTTGAGGACAGGCTCCTGCCACTGATTTGCTATGTCTGATTTTTCTCAGAAGCAAGGCCCAAGAAGCAGTACATTCTCAGGGGTAGGAAAGATCACCATCCTTCCCCCTCACCCCCTCAAATATCTTCTAACCCCATTTCCTGCTTTCATCCTCCTCTTTCTCTGCTGACTCTTGCAAACAGCTACTGAAGTTCAGCTTTGAGCAGAGCTTCAAGTGGAAATTCATTGTGATGAGCAGTGAACAGGGTGTCAGCAGATTACATATAAGATTCAACAAATTTGCATTTGATTTGGATTTCAGACAGAGATTGCTTCTGCTTCCCTGAAGACTATATAACTTAATTAGTCTTATATGAAATATTCCCCTGAGTCATTCTATGTATGATTCATTACCTTTTAAGTTGAAAAGCTGAAGTCCGTAACTCTTAGTTATACAAAAGTTTGCTTTTTGGTCCTTCAAGGAACAAGAATTCTGAACTTCTTTCTCCTCTTTATTTAATTTTCTCTTCTCCAAGATTCTCTTAGGCAGGGCTTGAAAGACTGTATTAAATGGCATACTTTCTGTTTGATTTAAGCTGTCCTATGACCAGAGCACTGTAGAAGCTCCCTCACGGGCAGAACCATTAAGGAATTTCTTTCAACAGTCATCCCTCACAGAGAAATAACCACAAAAAAAACCCTCCCAGCACACCCAGCACAACTTACTGGAAAACAAATACTTTGTGCCATATGTGCTGAGCTCTTTGGGTTACTTCAGCTTTAGAAATGTCATCTCCTTAATAATCATTTGACCCAGTACTTGTCACTTCAGACCAACAATGTTTGTTCTTATTGGCTAAAACTCCTAAAGCAACATTTGTCAAACCTGACTGATGAAAAGAATCTCCTGGGGGGACATGTTTAAAAATACACATTTCTGGGACCATGTCAGACCCAGTGAATTTATAACTCAGCCAAGGATAGATTGTGAGAGACTGCATTTTTAACAAGCATTCAAGGTGGTTCTTATCATCAGACATGCTTGGGAAATAACCTTAGCAGGAAGTTAAGTAGCCAGCTTCAGGGCTGCCCTGGAACAGAGTTCCTGGGACTGAATAAATCAGCGACCTGGTGGTACACCTTTATCCACTTGGGGAGACCAGGACCTGACCAGGTAAGAGTGCCTGCTTATGGCCTTGTTGGGACACTTCTGGCAGGGAAACAGCCAGGCTGCCCCCTTCAGGCAGAGCCAGGTGATGCAGTTATGCTTGGGGGGCCAGGGAAGGGAGGGGGAATTGGGCCCTACAGGCTTTTGAGCCAGACAGAATGCCTGAATTTGGATCCTGGCTCTCACCAGACCTTGAAAATATTTCTTTCTTTTTTTCTTTTTCTTTTTTTTCCAGTCCTGGGGCTTGAACTCAGGGCCTGGGCACTGTCCCTTGGCTGGTACTCTTGAGCCATAGTGCCACTTCCGGCTTTTTCTGTTTATGTGGTACTGAGGAATCAAACCCAGGGTTTCATGAATGCTAGGCAAGCACTCTACCACTAAGCCACATTCCCAGCCCCTTGAACAGACTTCTTCTGTTTTCATTATAAAATGGAGGTAATGATAGTATTTATCTTGTGGGGTTTCTGTGAGTGTTTAATATACTGTTTGTGTGAGTGTTTAATATACTGCCTTTATTATTCTGTCGTTAAGTGAAATGAGTCCAGCAGGGAGGAGGCAAACACTAGCCAGGAATGTTGTCCTCTTAAGGAGGACACAGAGCAGCAGCTCTCCCAGCACCTGGGCATGACAACCATCCCTGCAACCCTCAGTCTTAAAAATTTTATGTTAAATATCCACAGCATTCACATTCTCACTGCCAGGCAGGGAGTTTTCATTTCAAATCCAGGAAGCTAGAGTGTTGGAAGAATTCATTTATGTTAATTTCAGGAGCACCATCTATTAAGTAGGACTTTTTGCTATCTTAAGTTCTTTTTCATTTACTACGTTTGTTCCTCTGAGTCACCTAACTACATGAGGGCTAGAGGTGTTCTAGGTACCATGAACAAGATGTGAGTCATTCAGTGACCCCAGTTGAGTATAGCTGCTAGGGTCTGGGAGAGGGAGTGCATCTTCTGACAGGGTTTTATTGCTTGGGAAGACTGGTAGAAGGAGCTCAGGAGCTATAATATCACAATCAACCCTATAACTTTAAATTTGCTATATTCGACCCCATGCCTCCCTGTGATTGTCAGTTCCAAAATGATACCTGCCATTATTTCAGGCTGCTTCAGATGATATAGAAAATCCTGGATTAAGACTTTATTTTAAAGATAGCATTTCAACTAGACTCTTGTTCTGGGTAAAAGTAGTCCTAGAACTGATGTCACCATCTCTCTAGACACCATCAGCAGACTGAAGACAGCCAAAGCACAGGCCAGAAAGGAAGGCTGAGCTCTGCCTGCAACTTACTAATAAGAGAACTCAGTAGCAATAAAATTTTGGAGACATCCAAGCAAACGAGTGGTAATGATTTAACAGACAAGAGAAAACAAAATTCAGGCTAGAGACATAGCTCAGTGGTAGAACACTTACCTAGCAGGCACATCTTAGGTGCAATTCCCAGAGAGAGAGGAGAAGATGAAAACCTAAGCTGACAGAGAATGTGGAAGAAAGCTATGGGGGTATGGAGTGGTTGGCTGCTAGTCACTGGATAGTTTAGAGGTAACAAGGAGTCATAGCCATAGGCTTCTACTCTGAGCTGTCCCTAAGAAAAACTCTGCATGAGTTTCTTTCAGGAGACCTATTTTCCTCCTGCCAGGTCACATTCAGTTCTCTCAAGAGTTGAATGGTGCTTCCTAGTCTGTACTATTCCATGTATGGAGATGTATTGTGTTAGGGAAGACACCATCTTAGGTGGGGACAGCTAACTGTCAGACCTACCAAGTGTGGATAGGCACTAATTGCTAGGAATCTTAAGTAAGGACAAGATGTTTAACATTTAGAACATTTTACCTCAACATATCCTTCACAAGAAGGAGAAGCGGTTTGTAAAAGAGAATGCCACAGTGTAACTATTACCTCTGCACTGTGGGACATGACCAAGTTATCTTGAGTTGCATTACAATTATAATGCAATGTTAAAATGGCCTCTGACTGAGAGCCATGGTCAAGAGTATAGCAAGTTATCTACAGGATAGAATAACACAGCAGAATGAAAACCACAATCCTCTGGATTTTTAGATTGAAAATTACAGAGGCATTGGGGAAACTGAGAAAGGAGCCAAAATGAAAGCCAGAAAGTCTCCATACCATCCTGTTTGTCCAGCCCACCTACTCTCTTCCTACCTAGGGATGGTAGGAAAGTACAGTTTGATTGAAAAGCAAGAATTATAGATGGCTTCGGGAAACAGCCAGCTGGTTTAAATTCTTCGTGACACTGTCTCTAGGTCAGAACAGATTTTTTTTTTTCTCTAGAATGTTTTTTGAAAGACAGAGAAGCAGAGTAATTGAAAATTAACACGTAATTGGATGGAGCTGCAGGGTCCTTGGTTTTGGCAGATTCCCAAAGTTTCTCTAGGCCTGGGCAAACCTCCAGATTTCAGCCACTTCTAGGTTGGGATTTGATTCCATTTCCATTCCAACATGGACTGTTCAGTTCTGACTGAGATTAGTACAAACAGAATCATTCTAAATCCATACTTCAAAACCTAACTTTGAAAAAGTGAAGCTTACGGAAGTGGAGTAACAGGTAACTTCCTCCTCCCCGTGGATGCGGCTGCATCCAGGCTGCACCTGTGTGGACTAGTGGTAGAACAGACAAGATGGGAGAAGTGGGTATGAGTGAAAGACGGTTCAGTGCTGTCAGGTTCACACTGAGAAGCTAGGGGCGAGGATGGGTTCTGGAGATTTTGGACGTGGGGTACTGGGGAAGATGAGACCTAAAAGGCCTAAAATATTACTATCTGGCCCCATGAACAAAACAATAATTTCAGTTTGTTGAGTTTATAGAGTAAGGATGTTAGAAGGATGACCCATACTGGGAACCAGTAGCTCATATCTATAATCTCAGGAGGCTGAGATATGAGGCTTGAGGTTCAAAGGCAGCCAAGGAAAAAAATCCATGAGACTTATCTCAACTTAGCCACCAAAATGCCAGAAGTGGATCTGTAGCTCAAGTCATAAGTAAACAAAGAAGGTAAGAGTGAACACTCCGGTCCTGAGTTCAAGTCCCAATGCCAGCATTTTTAAAAAATGAAAGGTAACGTGTAGATCTAAAGACAAACTATAATCTTATTAGACTTGAAAAATTCAGAGCCAAGGAATTATATTTCGGAAATCTATTTTTTATGGCTCCTAAATGACTCAAGGTAGAAGATTATTTCTTCCGATTACAGCGGGTTTAGGAGGCCATTCTCCCTGCTTCATTAACAGTGTCTCCTAATCACTGCAGTAGCAAAATTCAAAAGGAACAAAAATTGACTCCTGTGGAACTCAGACTATCCCATATACTGATGAGTCTGTTTCCTCGCTTCCTTATCCACAGGCTCAGTGATGGGAACCATGAGCATAGCTGTGCGCTTGTGTGCCTGGGATATTGAGGGACTCTGATTCAGAGAACAGCTGGTAATTAGAACCTGGTAGAAGGACTCCATCTACCAAGGAGAATCATATTGGTGAATAATTATCCTCCAGTACACTAGAGGCCATTTGCATGCTTTTTAGCAAAGGTCTTTGGAGGTCAGTCTCCTACTGTTGAAGACTTTGATACTATGGTCACTAGAAGAATTCCTACTGTTTGAATAGAAACAAAAGTATTGGAAAACATTGTCTTAAATTCTGTTAAAAGTCACTTTGTAATAATACCCATATTCTGTGTTTCATTTATTCTACAGATGTGAAACTTGATTGAAGTACTATGAGAAAACTGCCACTCATTGTGGCCCATTAGTGCAATCTGAATCACATAGAATGTTACCCAAAGATAGATTGTGCTATATTCCACAGAAGAGAAT